GTGTGTGTGTGTGTGTGTGTGTGTGTGTGTGTGTGTGTGTGTGTGTGTGTGTGTGTGTGTGTGCGCGCCTCTAGCCTACTGTGTGACTGAGTGACAAGGAAAGTGATCTAAAGACGAGTAACAAAGACGTAGTGTGATTGTTGGACACATTGGGATTTGCACGTTAAACTTGTGACCATGTTGGATGGTGCTGGGATTCCATTGGCTAGACAGTCTGGAGCAGATGACCTCAGACAGATGGCTCAGTGCGGCAACACTGAGAGGAAGGACGTGGTGGGTGGACCGAGGGACGGAGAGAGAAGAAAGAGGAGAGAGGGAGACAAAGAAAATGGAGGAAGAGTGAGGAAGAGGCCCAATGGGCAACAGGAGGGATGTTATCTGACCACATCTGACATGTGTGTTGTTTTTACAGGATGATCAATGACTGCAAGTAACTAAGTACATTTACTCTGTACCTAAACACCAGTTTGAAGTCTGATTTAATGCTGCTTCATTCGTTTGGTTATTGATGTGGGAAATTCACGTTCACAGCAATGCAGTTCAACTGTATTTCACAGGGAAATGTACTTTATTTACGTAACTACATTTATTTCATAGCTCCATAGCAACAAATTAGCCTAAAAACATATGATGAGTGTCTTTAAATATACAGTTTATCTTCCAATCATGTTGTCAGTGTCTAGTTGTAGCCCCTCGTGTCTCAGATAAGTTGAGTTGGGAGCAGTTCCACTACACTTCTAAGATGATTTAATCACCTCTGCCAAGGACCTTAGTTTGTTAGTAAGCAGGATTATGCAGAAAAAAACCCTCAAAAATCAATTTTCATGAAATTTTGAGCAGAGGAAAAACCCATTCAATTTTGTTGTGTATCCAGATCAGGGGGTGGTTCCAGGACATTTTCCTTGATTTCTCAGAGAATAATTGATTGAAGAATTTGATGTTTCGGGCACTAATATTTATGAGTGTGTGCAATTTGGTGCAGATTCTAATGAAAATCTGGATCTAATGAATTTAAATGTGGTCTTTAATCATCCTGCTATACCTCTCAGACATATATCTTGTGAGGGGAACTGACCCAGGTTGGAAGGGCATATACTGATACAATTAACA